TAAAAAAACTACTACAATCATCAAACATATAATTATTCTAAATTTCTATTTCATAATATTTATCAGAACTCAAATAAATTATTTTTGCTTAATTGCTATATATTCTAAAAAAAACAAAAAAAAAGATTGGTCTTAACAATTTGAATAAATAATTATTTAAGAATCGTTTAAAAAAATTTTAAATAAAACATTTTGATCAATTACATATATATTTTTTAATTTATTCATCTCTTAGTTAACATATATAGCTAATCTGAAAATTCAGCACTTAAAAGTCTTGATTTAGGAAATGGCATAGAAACAATTTTGGTTGTAATGACACTAAAATATGATCTTAAAATTACGATCTATTCTTTATTTGGTCTTTTGAAACTAACAAGAGGTATGTTTTTAATTTAGTTATATTTTCTTTTAATCTTTAATTTCTTCTGTTATCTTAATTTAGAAGTCCCTGAAATAAATTGGAACACTTTTTCATTTTCATAATTTTAGATATCAAAAGTAAATATTTAATCACAACTAATTTATATTTTTTAATATAAATTAATGCAATATTATAAATAAATTGATAAAAAAGCATAAAAAACAGGAGTATGATAAAAATTTAGAGAAATATAGATGAGAAATTATTGCTTTATGTTTCATTCTCATATTTGATTGTGGCTAAAAAAATAGAGAATGAACAAATTTATCCAGCTTTCAAGTCTAATCGATTAAGATTTTACAGGATATAAGGCTTTTTTTTTAATGCTATTTTCTAATAACATAGTAAAATCAAGCCAATTAAAGAGGCCTTCAAGGTTATACGAGTTTCAAAATATGTTAAAAAAAGGATTATGATGGCCTTTTTACTCAATTTTATTTATTCCCAGAAATAGCTTGTCAATTCATATTCGTTATATAGATAACAAATATGAGGTCTCAATTTAGAATTATTTAAAAAATTCTGTTTAAAATACATCAGCAAAAATAGTAAAATAGGAAATATAAGTCCAAAGATTATCAATCCAGGTAGCACTAGATAATTTATCCAAAAATGATGGTTTTAAGTATAAAATAATCGAGTTAAATCTCCTTAAACATATTGAATATTCGAAATTTCCCTCACAGAAATCAATGAACATAAACTAAACAATTAGTTATATATTTATATTACATCTTAATAATTCCAGTAAAATTAAAAATATAGAGACAAAGCAAAGTATTTGAAATAATACTAAGTTTAAATTCATTTTTTGTAGTTATGGAAAAGATTAAGTACGCAATAACAATAATAATAAATTACCAAAGGATTAAAATTAAGATAACAATAACTTTGAAATAGACTAACTCAATCTTTTCTATTTCAGACAAATAACAATCTAAATTGTTTGCCATCGAATAGGAAGTATTACTGGCTTGGTTAATTAAGTCGATTGAAAATGAAAAGTTTATATTGAAAGTAAAAATTACTGAAAAAATCCACAAATAGTTCAAGAACATTTTAACAAAAATACTTTGAAGATCTAGTAAAATTAGTATTTATACCTTAATTTAATTTAAATAAGATTTTACTAAATCTTTCTCTAATTTTGAGAAATAAAAATAGTTCATTTGATTTTTCAATACTTCTTAAAGTAATAATTATTGATAGTATAGCCCTTAGAATATATATAGATTTACCATAAAATATTAAAAAAGACAGGAAGTACACTATCTTGTACTCCAAAACATTAAACACATTCTGAGTTGGTCTAAGTTTTAAAATGTTTTCCAAATCCTCTTACATTATATATATCACATTCTTCACATAATGCACCAACATGGCCCTCACTGCAACTGTTGTCTCCAACTGTCCATCCACCCCCACAATTTTTTGTATTTTTAAAACATAAAACCGAGTAATCTGATAGATAGTTTGGTCTCCAATACCCATTTTTTAATTAAATAGCATTTGATGTAATTTCTAGAAATTTTTCTTTATCGAATATAGAACATTTTATAGAATCATAAGTAACTGAATAAAATCTTTAAAATGGAAGGCATTTCTAGCATCCAAAATTTACATAAAATTCTCCAAGCTAGCATTTGTAACTTTTCAACTGGATATAATAATTTATTTAATTTTCTTATGTTTATGTTTAACAAATGAATTATATCTATAAATATTGATAATCATTGTTGTAAGGATCAAGTTAAAATGTTAGAGAAGTTAAATCAAAACCATTTTATTTAATATCAAATGTTAAAAAGTTTTTTTTCAAAAATCCATCGACTTTCGTTCCATCAAGCTTAATAATATTGCTCACAATAGTACAAGTGGAATTTTTTATGTTTAAGAGCATTTCATTTAAACTGTTCTTAAAAATTAATGCTAATTTGCTAATTTAGAATATTGTTTAAGACTATCTTGGTAAAATAAGGCTAAATTCTGATAAAAGTTGATTACTTGGAACCATTAAATACTTTGTTTTTATTTTCCTTTCTTATTCAATTGTAATATATGGTTTGATATCCAATATTTTTGTTTATTTTTATTCAAAATGTAGAATTCTCGATGGCATTTCAAATTAGTTGATTAACATAGCCAAATGAGTTGGGTTCTCAACTAAATTATTCCCATAAAAAGAAGCCTGATTCAAGATGAAATAATTTTTAACATTATTCTCAAGATTCAAATTACTATCCTAATTAAGATAAATTCCTCCTCCTTCTCCTGCCTTATTTTATATTATAATGCTATTTTTAATTGAAAAATTGCTGCTCTTCAATTCCAAATATAAGCCTCCACCTTCTTGACTCGCTGTATTAAATATTATTTTGCATAAATTTATGTTAATTGGCACTAGAAAAGAAGAGATTCCTATTCCTTTACTTCCTTGGTTTTTTATAAAATTTGAATTCTGCAATTGAACTACTTAGGATTGATCATTTGAAGTTGTAAATTTCAAACATCCATATTATTGAACAAAATTATAAAGACAATGAAAATCTTTAATGTTAACATTTTAATAGAAAAATAGCTAAAATGAAATTAAACCATCGCTACATACAGTGCAATTGTTTTAAATTAAATTTATTTAATTAAAGTAAAATGAATGTTTATATGATGAACTTGATATAGATATTAAAGATACTTATTTTTATGATTCCTATTCAATAGATTTAAAAAGGTCAGATAAGAAATAATATTAGATATCAATAGAGGAATAGGTTTCGGTATAACTGCATCCAATGCTTTAAAAAAATTAATCCGAAAATTAAATTTCCATATCATTTGCTAAATAATTTGTGTAATTTTATATTCTTAAAGATTGGAGAATCACTTTAGATTCTAAATCCATCTTTTAAATTATCTTTACTAAAGTAAAAGAAGATAATGCCTAAATTTATGTAATCAACAAATTATAAAATTCTAGTTTTGGTGAATTAACAAATATCAAAAATGATGAAATATAAAATCCTTCAAATGTTAAATTTTTTAATGAAGCTGAAAAACTCTCAATATAAAATAATGAATTGTCATTGCTAGAAATGCTTTATAATTCAGTTTGACTTAAAACTTTTACTTTACTAAAAAAGTAATTCCATGATTTTTGATCTTAAAATACCTTAATATTTTGAAGAGTTAATTTATTATTTTGAACAATTTTATTAGAAATTTAAACAAATAGGATTTAATTTATCAACGAAAGGCAATTCTTAATCTCTATATCAATTAGATAAATAGTATTTTAAATATTCGAAGATTAGATTGTTAGCATTGAAGAAGACATTCTATTCAATATATCTCTAAATGTTGAATTTGAGATTTCAAGATCTAGGATACTATTTTGTGAATATATGCTGATACAACCTGAACTATTAGTAATTTAATTTAAATCACTCTAAAGATTATTTGCTTTTATTTCTATAAGTCTTACGATTCCTTTATATTCTGTTATAATCTCAAATATAACACTTTTAAATGCAAGTATATATTAAAAATGACATTTTTGACAAATAAAAGTAGAAGCTATTATTTTAGCAGCTCCTCCAATATTCTTTATAAATAATATTTTAGATATAAATTAATTTAATTGTTCTTAATCTAATAAACTATTTAATTGCAAATCATAATACTTTGATAATATATCACTAGATAAAATATTATGGTTAGAAACAGTAAAATGATACAACTTCACAATCATAGAATTTATGTAAATAAAAGAATTAGATGAATTTGTTAAGCCATTTTACATTGATGATAAATTGAATATCTCCGCAGTGCTACTCTATGAATTAATATATAGTAAGGATGCAAAAGATAGAAATGTGTCATCAATTTAAGAATGAAAAATATTTTCTAAAAATTAAATATTAACGATCTTAATATCTAGATTTCTTTCTGAATCTATAGCTAAAAGGGAAAAAAATCTTAATGATTATAAGTGTAATTATAAATTTCCTTTGAATATGATATCTATGATTTATATTTATATATTAACTGATGTTGATTAAAGTTGTTTAGGAGATAAATCTAAAATTGATTCATCAACAGTATATTAATTTAAAATTGATACATTTGAAAGTTTAAAAGACTAAAAGTTCACTAATTTGAGCAATTAATTTTTAATCATCATATAGCTTTTGCAATTTTATCTTAATGGCACTTTATATTATTAATCTTGTTATTCATATGTAATATTCTCAATTACAATTTTATTACTATCATAGATATAAAAGATGAAAATATTATTCAAATTATGGAATCTAATATTTAATGAGCTAAATTGAAAGCATTTTATAATAAATAACATAGAAATAAATTCAGTACTAGAAGAACTTGTTAATTTTTCAAAGTTTACATTTGAAATTTATAAAATTATATTACTTGACTCTTGGCTAGATTATATTTTTAATAAATTTGAGTTACTGATTTGAATTTAATAGGCAACAAAATTATCAATTTTAATTGAAATTTTTGAATTATAATTTTCCTCAATAATCGAAATTAATTAAGAGAGTTTCATATCATTATCAAATATTTAAAGATATTATAAAGATAAGTTATAATTTTAATTAATTAAGCTTGACTATTGTAAATCATTTGAATATACTTTTATGTCTATAAACTATAAAATCGCGTAGCCAAAACAATTTACATAATTTGAGATTTAAAATTTGTTCTTTTTAATGATTACACTCTTAAATGATATGTTACTTTATTGATCAAGGGGAGCATTAATAAAAAATATTGTCGAATTTAAAAATTCACAATCTTCAATTAAAAGATTTTGAACTTACAAAATAATTTTATTATTGGTTAATTAAAATAATTTTGAATTTGTTAGAGTGCAATTTTTTATAAGTAATATATCAATATTAATTACTCCATTAATTTTTGACTTTCTAAAACTTAGAAATGATGAATTCATTAACTCTGAGTTAATGATTGAAACATTGTTAAGCTTTATATCACCATATATATCAGTTTAAAATACAGATTCAGAATTTTAAATTTTGCTATCAATAATTGTAAAATTAATTAATTTCAGGTCTGTTTAAGTGTAATTATTTTGTATAATAAAATCATCGTTAGCAACTCTCTTTTGTGTTAGGTAGCTAATAATTAAAGTATCAATATTTTCAACATATATAGGTGATTAAGTAGAAAAAATTAAATTTATTTTAGATGTGATTATAAATTAAACACTTTTAAGTGAAAATATTTTATTTAATAGAGTTGATTTTAACCATAAATTGACTAAATAACACGGAATTTCACTTGCAAAATTAAATTTAATAATTAATGTATCTATTCCAATTTAGTTTAAGTAGTTTATATTAATTTATCTTTCCCAAAATGTATCAAACAATTCGCAATAATCATAATTATATTCATATAAAAGAGTTGAAGTGCACTATTCATCAAAACAATACCTTGCTATCTGATTATATTGATCAATATATATATTGGGATCAAAAACTGGCTTTAAACATTTTTTAGTATAGTGAATGTTATCACTATTCAACATGAAATTTGGTTAATAGGTCTAGATAATACAATATAAAAATTACATAAATATCCTTTTCTGATCTAATTTAGCATGCTTAACATAGATAAGGACATTCAGAACAAGAACCATTGATTTAATGTCTAATTGGCTAATAAAAATAATTCAAAGGGCATTAATTACAAATAAAACCTTCTTAATAATCATAAACACATGATTAGCAATCAGAATCACAATATTATTAGCAAACAACCTCCCCGATTTTAAATCCATCTAGACATTCAACTATTTATTCTTGTAAATCTGTATTTAATTATGATTGAGGATAAAAATATTGATTAGGCAAAAATTTCATAATAAAACTTTGAATTCTTTATATCCAACCATCTTTTTGAGATATTGAACTTTCAATAACTATTTTAGCTCCTAATGTTTTTAACGGATCAGTTAAATAGCAACCTCCATTCTTCATTGAAGCTGTATATCCTAAATCACACACAATACATTAGACTGTAGATTCAAGAGATAAAATGCATTGTAAACAATGAAGTTAATATTTTTGGCAATTAATAATTTCAGAAGCAAGATTAAAATCATCTATCATTGATAAAGTACAAATTTCTTAATTGTCTTTTATAAATGATCTTTAACAATTTTATATTTTTGGTTGCTAATATAAACATAGTCCATTATCGAAATCATAAATATAATTCTCTTCACATAAAGCACAACCAACTACTATTTCTTCATCTTAGTCAATAAATTCAAAATCTTTATATAATGTGGAAATAGTTAAATCATTCCGCAGATATTCAAAACAATATTTGCAAAATCGAATATTGCATAAATTACATTATCTTCGCAATGTTAAGTAAAATGGGGGAATACAATATTTTAATTTATCATAAAATAAGGAAGTACAAACACCTTGAATTAATGTGTAACCAAAGTAACATTCTAAGCAAATATTTCCAAAAACAGTATGCAAGCATTATTAGCAATTTTTGACTTTTCCAAAACAATAATATTTCAATGAAAATAAAGAAATATCTGGTTCTTCTATATTATATTCCTTAGGAACAAAAGAATAAATTTCAGTACAACTTTTACAATAAATTGCATCATTTCCATCAAAAACAAAAAATATTGGCGATTAATCTTTAATAATTTATTCAACTTCACCATTCAAACTTAAATACAAATTTCCATCGCATTCAGGTTTTTATATCCATCCCTTTGGATTTTATATACATTCTAAGCAAGTTACTAAATTTTCTCTAATAATTGATGGACTATATCATTTTAAAAAAATACCATTAGAAACAACTGTCAGAATATTCAAAGTATCCATATTTACAACCTGATTTCTTTTATTTATTCTCCACTATTTTCAAATCATAATCCTGATATGATGAACATTTTTCATCATCCATAGTATGATATGGGCAAACGCAAGCTTTAAATTGAGCTAAATAAATTCTAAGAGATCCTTTTTTACAGGATAAACAATTATTTTTGTTTGGGCCCTCACAATCTTCACAGCTGTAATGACAATTCTATTGATAAAATTAAATATCACAATTGTGAAACTTAAAATTTCTAAATTATATATTCATATAGTTAGTTTTTGAATATAAGTTATTCCCATATTAAAGTTTAAATTAAGTCTGCTTAAATTAATATACTTTAATTTAGAATTTATAATCATAAATTTAATGACCTTCAAAAAATTAAATTTGGATTATCAATAAATCATCTTACAATTAAACAAAAACATTATGCCAAAGGAATATTGCATTTGAAATATCGAACTCTTTTTTAATTAAAAATGGACTATCAGAGAAATCGATTGTGACTGATGGAAATGTATAACTGTAAGTAGTTAGAATGATGTAATTTTTTGTAGATGAAATGTTATAAGACAATGAAAATGGAGATAAATTGTAATCTGCTAAAGAATTTAAAAAATTTGATGTTATAACCAATAATTGATAAATTAATACATCTTATGTCTTTATTATTTCGGTAATTTTCAACCATCCAGATAAAATAAATGAATTACAATTTATATTTTCTGAGACAAACACTAAATTTTTCATCATATTGATATCAACGTCGTCAATTTTTGATATAGAATTTTCCTAACATATACATTTTTAATATTATTCAAAAAAAGCTGGTTAAATTTATTCATATATTTCTGAAACTGAGATTTATGAAAGCTCAAATTCATACAGAATTAGTTTACCTGGAAAATATGAAATTTTAGTTCCTTGTTCAATTGATGAAATTTTTGATTAACCTACTATCATACTACCACCAAATGTTAGCAATAAATTAGTATCTGAAAAAGGCCATTTTATTTATAAATAAGAATGGAATATAGTCTAGTCTTAATACATAAAAATGAGTTCAAATATTTTTTACGATGGCCATTGCAAAATCATAAAGAAATACCAAGCATTTTCATATTCAAAACAATCAATCTCCTTACTAAAATAATGTTCTTCATCATTATTATCAATAAATGCAATTATTTTCTTTATGGTTTTTGATTCATAATCTAGACAATCATAATATAAAAGATTAAGTGATTGAGTTTTCTACTCAGATGCATTGTGCAAAAGCAAACAATTACTGTCAAATTATCCAACAATACCAACTTAAGGTATTTTAGTTAGGGGATTATATTTTGACCACAATCCATATCGAAATCCATTTGTTTATGTGAAATTATTATCAGAAAGTATTATTGAATTTTTGCTAATTTAGTAAGATGAATCCAATTCTTTAATCTTCAGGCTTCTTAAACTAAATATAAAAGATAAAAAGTAGATATAATGAAGCATTTTAAAATTTATGCAAAATAAAATAAAATAGAAACATTAAATATAAATTAAGAGTAAATGCATAACTATTTTAGCAATTAAATTATCATAATCCTTTAAATAGAAATCTTAAAAAGTAAATTTTATTTTTATAGAAATTCTTAATGATAATAATGAAAAGCAACTCATCATATCATTTCTTTATATATTTAATTTAGATATATGTTAAATAATTCATATATAAGAGAGTTTAATATTATTATTTACGGTATGATTAAATAAATTGAATAAATTAATTTTGATTATTCAATATAATTAATAATTTCTGAATGAAATCAAGAATAAAATTCTATTTTTTAGAGTATTTCTAATGACAATAATACATTATATTTTTATTTTGAAATAATAAAGTTAAACAATTATAATTAATTATTTATACTTTAATAATAATATTCATTGTTTTATTCCATCAAGTGATACCTCTCCAATAATCTCTGATATTTTTGAGTTTATATTCTAGTTATACATTAATTCAAAATTAATTCCATTCATTCCTATCTACATCAAAGTTTGATATTGAAATTTAAATTTATTGTTGAATTTTTATCGTTCTAATTCTTATTATTCTTAAGACTACTATTTTGTTTATTATTTTTGATTTATTTGATTGTCATTAACTTTAGCTTTTGATTCTTTATCATTTTTACCTTAACTAAACATTAAATGAAAATAATTCTTTATAATTTATTTTATTATTTAATATATATTATTTTACTAATTGTTCTAAACTGATAAATCCTGATCATTGATTAATCTGATAAATTTATTTATAAATATTCTACAATAATTCTATGATATTTGTTATGATTTAGGTATAAAAATAGTAATTAAAAAGCATTTTCTGATTGTGAATATTATATTATTTTTGTTAGTTATAGTTTATCTTTTCTTTATTTATTTATTTGTTTGAAGAAATAAATTCTTTTTAATAAATTTTATTTAAAGGATGAATTAAAGTTTTCCTAAAATCAGTAACAATGATGTTAATAAAAGTCTATTAACGATTTTTTAAAAGATTAAGAATAAAAGATATATTCGCTCAGCATTTATTCTTAATGATTTAAAACCAATTATGGAGAAATTGGATAATGAAGAAAAGCAAATAATAATTGAATACATGTAGAAAGAATTTAAAGATGAGGAATTTCTTAAGCATAGTGGATATGTGGAACAACCAAATTACAAATAATTATATTAGAAGGCAAGAAATGAGAAAGATAAATAACTTATATTTTAACAGCTAAGAAATCCTTAGTTTAATATAGATAATGAAATTCATGATTTAATTTATTAAAATGAAAAAATAGTTTGCAGATTAGAAGAAAATATTTTTGATTTANGATAATAATGAAAAGCAACTCATCATATCATTTCTTTATATATTTAATTTAGATATATGTTAAATAATTCATATATAAGAGAGTTTAATATTATTATTTACGGTATGATTAAATAAATTGAATAAATTAATTTTGATTATTCAATATAATTAATAATTTCTGAATGAAATCAAGAATAAAATTCTATTTTTTAGAGTATTTCTAATGACAATAATACATTATATTTTTATTTTGAAATAATAAAGTTAAACAATTATAATTAATTATTTATACTTTAATAATAATATTCATTGTTTTATTCCATCAAGTGATACCTCTCCAATAATCTCTGATATTTTTGAGTTTATATTCTAGTTATACATTAATTCAAAATTAATTCCATTCATTCCTATCTACATCAAAGTTTGATATTGAAATTTAAATTTATTGTTGAATTTTTATCGTTCTAATTCTTATTATTCTTAAGACTACTATTTTGTTTATTATTTTTGATTTATTTGATTGTCATTAACTTTAGCTTTTGATTCTTTATCATTTTTACCTTAACTAAACATTAAATGAAAATAATTCTTTATAATTTATTTTATTATTTAATATATATTATTTTACTAATTGTTCTAAACTGATAAATCCTGATCATTGATTAATCTGATAAATTTATTTATAAATATTCTACAATAATTCTATGATATTTGTTATGATTTAGGTATAAAAATAGTAATTAAAAAGCATTTTCTGATTGTGAATATTATATTATTTTTGTTAGTTATAGTTTATCTTTTCTTTATTTATTTATTTGTTTGAAGAAATAAATTCTTTTTAATAAATTTTATTTAAAGGATGAATTAAAGTTTTCCTAAAATCAGTAACAATGATGTTAATAAAAGTCTATTAACGATTTTTTAAAAGATTAAGAATAAAAGATATATTCGCTCAGCATTTATTCTTAATGATTTAAAACCAATTATGGAGAAATTGGATAATGAAGAAAAGCAAATAATAATTGAATACATGTAGAAAGAATTTAAAGATGAGGAATTTCTTAAGCATAGTGGATATGTGGAACAACCAAATTACAAATAATTATATTAGAAGGCAAGAAATGAGAAAGATAAATAACTTATATTTTAACAGCTAAGAAATCCTTAGTTTAATATAGATAATGAAATTCATGATTTAATTTATTAAAATGAAAAAATAGTTTGCAGATTAGAAGAAAATATTTTTGATTTATTAGATCTAAATGAATTTAGATTAGGCAATATATTCATAACATAAATTGAATTATTGAAAATTTTGATTTCTTTTTTCTTCCTCCCAATTATGCAAGACAAACCTAATCTTTTAGAATAGATTATAGGTTCATAATTAATACCTCAAATATATCAATTCTAATATTATTTAGAAATAAAACAAAATGCTAATTAGATTTCTTTTGATAAACTAGTTTAGATTATATAACATAGACAACTATAATTAATATCCAAAGAAGAATTTGAAAATACTATATTAAAAATGAAGGATTATAATTTCTTTTTGATTATCAACTCTCTTATTGAAAATCATTAAGTGTTTCGAGAAATTTTAGTATAGAAATTTTGTTAATTGTTGAACTGCACAAAATAATAATTGAAAGTTGAATCAATATTATCTCATCTCTTAAATATTGAAAATATTAATGAAGAGATTGAGGAGTTATATTTTTGTATAATATTTTATTTTTGGATGAAATATCTTATTAAATATGATATAGAACAAGGATTTTCTGACCTTTAATAGATTAACATTATGGCAGAGGATACTATAGAAACTAAAGAATAAGCAATGTAAAGCATAATTTAAGAATAAATTAAATCAAATTAAGATTAAATATTACTACATTTTGTTTATATAATCTTTTATTTTTCAAAAGAACTCAGTCTAATTAATATCTAAGAATACTAAAGATATAAATAAGAAAGAATAAAATTATAAGAAAAAATTGGTTAAAATTGTTCTGAATTATCACTTTAAGTTTGGAAAGATACTACTTAACTATAATATTGTTAATTAAACAAAATTTAAGGGTAGGGGGAGTTAATCAAATTTTTTTGGATTACTTAACTTAATTCTGAAATATTCATGATTATTAATAATTTATTAATAGAATAGTAATCCCTTAATTTATTTGAAATAGCTATCTTATTAGAAAATAAATTAAAAGAAACTAAATTAAATAATACATATTTGATTATTTCAAATATTTTAATGCTATTACCAAACAATTTATCAAATGTTGATAAGACATAAAAGATTCTATTAATATAATTATATTTAAAATATAATACTTTTAATGGATAAGTCTAGGATTTAATTAAAGAAATATTCTTTTAAAAAAACAATACAAATGTAAAAGATAATAAATTTATCTAACTTTGTTAACGTTTTTATGAATTAGATGAACAATAATATGAAATTTGGTTAGAAAGTGTTTAGTATTATTAAATTTTTCAAATAACACCTAAATGTTTAAAACATATAAAATACCATAAATAATTTCCAACAAATTAAAAAATAGCAATAGAGCAATTCAGTTTTTAGGTTCCAGAAGAAAATAATTAATAATTAAAATAAGCTATAAGTAATTGGGTTAAATGTATGAGTGATAATATAATATATGATCTATTTCCTTTTTTTATAGATATATTAAAAAGAGGTGAATCAATAAATCTTTTAGTAAAGCTCATTAATGAAGAAATATTTAATCATTAATCTAAATCTGAATATTTCAATAGTAAATCCCTATTTTAAATTTTTTATAATAATTCTAATTAAGAATTAAAATTTTTGTTGCTTAAATATCGCTCTAATTAATATCCTATTCCTTTAATTTATTAAACTTCCTTCTTTAATGAAATTTAAAGATTGGAAAATTTATATGAAATAAATGATAAAATATATTATTTGATGTAGAAAAGTGTTAATATAATTAATTTGTCTTTAAGTAAAATTTAAAGTAAAATTGGTAAAACTGAATTGATTAATAACATTTTCTATAAAATGTAAAAATTCGAAATTGGTGATAATTGTTAAATTAATGAAAGCACAATAGATGTGATGTTTGATTTTGAATTTAATGGTACAAGAAAGTTTATGATTGCAGATACACATGGATATATTCCATAAGAAATATTAATAAAAATATTACCACTATTTTAGATCTGTATTATTCAAATAGATTCAGAAAAAGAATTATAAGAAAACATTGATTCTATTAAATCTCTACAAATTTATAATTCCATGAATATTTATCTTCTAATTAGAAATTCAAGAAAAAGTAAAATACCAGAATAATTAGAAAAAGAATTAACATAATTAAAAATAAATTATTTTTAAGTTTCTGATCTATCATAGAGAGGAATAGATAAATAAGTTCAATTAACAGAAATTGAAAGTGTTTCAAAATTTTTATTGAATAATATTTGTGAAAATCAATATTCATTAAAGAAGTCTAAATAATTGTTTTTGAATATTTTATAGGATTTTAATAAAAAATCTATAGAATATTCTGAAATTATAATCTAAAATAAAACAATTTTTGAATAAATGAAGACAGAATTATCAAAAGTAATAGATTTAAATGATGGATTTTATAATGAATTAGCTTTTCCATTACGTCATAGTGATTATCAAAACAAAATCTTACACTAAAAAATTATAGAATATTCATTATAATCAGTTTAGGAATAAACAACAATTGAAAAGTTGAGAGAGGCTATTGAAGAAAACTTAATGTTTAAAAAGTTTAGAGTTCCATCACCATTATTAAATTTATTTCAAAAAATTTTATAGTAAGATCATGTCTAGTATTTATGGTTTCTTGAAAAATTAAGGTAATTTAATGAGAAAAATACATAAAAATTAAATGAAAAGATTTAAAATTTAATTCAAAAAAGATCATCATCTTTTACTAGTAATAGTTAAATTAATTTTAAGACTTAATCCTAAGATTTAAATTAATAATTACATGATGCGGCAAATTAAATAACACAAATTGAAAATGAGTTAAAATTTAAGAAAATTGGCATAGAAATATTTTGGAGAGAATTAATTTAATTTGAATGTTTAGGAAAATAATTATCTATAAATCCTATTGATGCACTTTGTTAAATTATTAGAAAAGGTGAACCTTTTGAACTTTTAGATGGAGATTCTTAAACTATTGATAAATAATTTTTACAAAAATTAATATAATAACTCAAATAAGATGAAAATCAAAAAGTTTTAGTATTAAGTGTTTTAGGACCTTAAAGTTCAGGTAAATCTACTTTATGGAATAAAATATTTGGATGTCATTTTTGGACAAGTGTTGGTAGATGCACAAGAGGAATTAATATTCAATTAATAAAAGTGAGAGATAAATCTATTTTTGGAAGTTTGTTTGATCAAATTCTGCTTTTAGACACTGAAGGTCTTTAAAGTCCAAATTAAACAGATATTGAATTTGATTAAAAAATGTCTTTATTTATACTAGCTATCAGTGATATCATCTTGCTAACTGTTAAAGGGGATATTCATTTATAATTTCATAATCTTATTGAAATTTGTATATATCAATATGGCTAATTAATATAAAATATTGCAGGAGTTAAATAAATTGTTTGGTGTTTTAATTAAAATAATGATGTTTAAAAGAAAGGGCCTTTTTTTGAATAAATATAATAGCTGGCTATGAGAGTGGAAAAAAGAAATTATCAATCAAATCCATTTGATTTTGAGATCCAAGAATAATAAAATTAATAAATTGATTATGCAAATATAATTGATATTGATACAAAACATATCTGGGTTTTGGGATTTGCTTAAATTCAGAATATTTGGGATTTTCAAAACTGGACATAATAAAGTATTAATGAAACTTTTTCTAAAACTGCTTATTAAAATGGAATTTTAATGATAAAAAACTATATGGAAAAATTTGAACTTTAGAATGATATTAATTAACTTTAAACTTTATCTTAGTTTTTATTATCAGTTGATGAAACATGGAAAAATATTGAAAAATTACCTGATTATTTGGAGTTTTCAGAATTACTATAATATTATTAAAACAAATAAATGAAAATTGAATATTAAAATATGTTAGAAAGAAGAAGTAGAGATTTCGAATTCAAAAATCTGATAAGAGCTTAAATTAATGAAGCTGCTTTAAAAAATAAAACATCTTAAGAATTTTTTATTAATTTAGAGGATGAAAAAATGATTGATATTAATATAAGATTAAATGAGATTTAAGAATAAATAAGTTAAGAACTTTAAGAATTTAAATAAAGCTAAAAAATTTCTAAAAAGATTTATTTAAAATATTCAGAATAATTAGAGAGATAAATTAACAATGAAAGATTAGCATGTAAACTTATAATTACTGAAGCTATCATTTAACAAAAAATTTTATATAATAAAGATTAGAGTTTATAAAATTTAGGAAAGAGTATTAGAACTTTAATTGACTATTCACAAAATAAACAACTAGATGAATAGCAAATCTTGGAATAATTTGAAGAAAAGTGGGATAATATTGTAAAATAATTTTCTTAGACTTTAGATATATAATTTGATAAGTTTTAGATGTTGTAATATGAAATAATGAAAGGACAATATAATGAATTTATTTTAAGATCAACAAAAGAATTTGAATATATAAATTTATTAAGAAATAAAATAAATAAAACTGAACCCTCCTAATCTAAAGAGGAAAAAAAGTTAATATTTAAGTTATATTTTGAAGAATTAAAAGAAAACTAATTTAGACCTATTGTTCAAACAGATTAAAAGTTTATTAATATATATGATAAACCAATCAAATAAAAAATTGAAGAATTTGAAGGATCAAATTATATCAATTTTCTAAACTTTTATATTTGTTAAATGTAAATTGAATTTGTAAGAAAAGAAAATCTTGAAGATTATTTATAAAATTAAATTATTAAAGATTTTAGAGAATTTTAAATTGAAAATTAGTAAAATTAATATAATTTAAATTTCTTTTCATATTTTTTTGATTAATTTTAATTAAAAATTGAGATTAAATTAATTGGAGAATTGCTCTCTGAAAATTAGGATGATAATTTTGAACAATTAAAAAATTATTTTTAATCAATATAAATACCTGATTAATTAGAAAAATAAAGTAACTTAAATAATTTTCCAAAAAAGAATTACAAAAATCTACAAATTTCAAAATTGAAGGAAAAATATATTTGCTCAGAAGTAAAAGCTGTTTTAAAAGAAATGCATAAAAATTTTTATATAATTTCATAAAACTTAGATTATGAATATAATGTTAACGATTATAATTAATATAGAAGTTACATTGATTAAATTGAATACAAGAGCAAAAATCAAAGATTATAGATTTTGAATGAATTTAGTAAATAATTAACAAGTTTAATGGAGAAAGAAGAAGTATGGGATAAAATATATGGGGAAGCTTATAATTTGGTTGAAAACGAGATGAATGTTTAATAAGATGTTAATAAAACTAATAATGAGTAAGTGTCATGTTTTAATATGTAAAAAATAAATATCATTATTGAGAAATTGAATGTAAATTTAATTTAAAACAAATTTAATACTTAAATTTCATATTTTGGAGTAATTTTAAATAAATTAGGAGAGAGATGCATAATATATTTTTGTTTATTAATTATTTGGAGATTTATAAGTTATTTTTAATGGTTATCAGTAAATAAATATATAAATGAATTGAATCAAATGAAATTAAATCAGAAAGAGAAGACTATTGCATATCTTCAAGAAAATAAAACTGTTTTAAGTATAATTTCAGCAAGAGATCTATTTGATACAATTAAATAAAATTTTGAATCATAATTTTATATAAATAAAGATGTCTATTTTTTATAATAAATTGAAGATGAAAATTTTAATCCAGTTGTTATACTAGATTAAGAGTTTAGAAATAATAATTAAGAGTTTATTATTAATTATATAAGTGATTAAAAATCATAAATAGAAAAATATGTGGATAATAAATTAGCTGTCTTAAAAACAAGATTGAATAATGAGCTTTAAAAAGAATTAACTCAGGAATATGAAGAATTAATTAAGAATATAAAATCAAATGCATAATTATTATAATAATTTCTGTAACCTAATCTAAATATTGAAGAATACTTTGAGAACACAGAATTAGGTAAAGACTTAGAGACAAAATTGTTTGAAATTGTAGTTTGTTTTCTTAAGGGGGAGAAATTTTCTGATAAAAAATTAATAAATTATAAGTAAAGATATATATTTTATTAAAATGAAATAGTATAAGTTTAAATTCCTTTAAATAATTTATAGAATACTAAAATCTAATTATTAGATGTTTTTGTTAATAAGTTGATAGAATTATTAGAATAAAATTTATAAGTAAAACTTGATTTAGATCGATTCAATCAATAAGAAGCATTATTAAAAAAACGACAATAATTGATAGGGTGTGATGTTACTTGTGAATTTTGTAATCGAAAATGTGATTTATAGTATTAACATTAATCAAAACACAAATGTTAATATGGGCATTTTTTAATAGGTATACAAATAATATATAATTTAAGTGAATATGAATGAATTGGAATAATAATATTCGTGTGATGAATATTTTTTGGTAAGTAAAGGAAATAATTTTCAATAATTTAATTAAAATTGGTCTTTATAAAAAGATGAAAATAAAAATGAAAAAAAATAATTAAAATAAGATTTGATAAAAATTTGGTAATAATATGGAGAAAAGATCTGTTAGAAATTATAAAAAAAATACAAGAAAATTTTAGAACAAATTAATCCAAAAAAAATTCATTATATTTTTATTCTGGATAGTTCTGGCTCCATGTCTGAAGATTGGACTAATATTAAAATAGGAGTTAGAGACTTTATTTCTAAAATAAAAGAAGATGATTAGCAAAATAACAGTGAATCTAAAGTAAGTCTTATCATTTTTGACAATGAAGAAAAAATACTGATGAATAGTTAGAGAGCAAAGAAAATAGAGAATCATGTAAAAATGAATTTTTTAGGTGGAGGAACAAACCTCTCTAATCCAATCAAGAAGGCCATTAAAATAATTAATAAAGATAATTTCTCTGAACTGTAAATTTAAATATATCATAGATATTTAATATTATTTCACACTGATGGAAGAGCTGCTTATCCATAATAAGAACTTTAAAATTTATTACAACTAAATTAAGCTAAAAGAGAAAAAATACAATTAATTGCCTGTACGTAGAATGCCAATAATTAAAATGAAGTGCTTAATAAGATGATTAATTTTTTTAATGAACATACCAAATAAGCAAATTTATTCACATTTGATTCAGCTGAAGACTTAATTTAATTTTGGTCTGTCGTTATCAATTTTAAATTAAATATATGATTTTGTGATTTATCTTTAAAATTATTATTCAAAATTAAAAAGTATAATCATTATTAAATTATAACAATTTTGATAAACTATCATAATCATATTTGAAATTACTTTGCATAATAAAGTGATTCTAATAATCTAATTTACTTAAATAACTTTTTTTGAAAAATAATCTTATAAGAAGTTGAAAAAGAGATTTATTATATAAAGCTGATAGTAACAAATAAATTTGAAAAATTTTAAGTATTTTTATAATTTAAAATGTATGTTTACATTTTAACAATTTTAGATTATTTTAAATACTAAATTTATTGTACTTTATTTATAAAAAAATTATAAAATTGTTAAATAAATATTTATATAAATAAAAATTTGCATAATATATAATTGAATAATAATTATCTATTTTAATGATTAATTACTCTTATTTTAGATATATTAATGTTATATATTGTAATTTTGAATAATAGTTGCGCATTAAATCTTATATTTTTTAAAACAGAAGATATTAAATTAAAATTTGTTTTATTATGTAAATATTAGAAAATATTCTTTTAAATGTTTATGTTCTTTTAATTTATACATAGAAAAATTAAATTTCATATAATATAAACCTAAATATTGAAATATTAATTAAGTGAGATTAATGAATAAATTTTATGTAATATAAATTCAATCAAAGTGATGAAAAAAAGGATTCTGATAAATTTATTTAAATTAATATAATTTGTGTTGGTTAAAGAGTGTCAATATATGAATGATTATAATTAATTAAGTAACTTAAAATTAATTGTCAGAGTTATAAAATGGGAATAACTTGTTCATCATAACGAAAATCAACATCATAAGTCAGTTTCCAAAACTAAAATTCTAATGAGTAAAATGGTTAAAGTAAAAATATTTCATAAATAAATGAAAACGACTAAAAAATCATTAACAATGGGATTTCTTATTTCTTAAGAAGAATAGATTAATTTAATAAGTAAGATTAACCACATGAAACTAAATAACTAATTTCATTCTTTGAAAAATAGTAATAATGGTTAGAGTGGAAATTAGAATGTGATATTGCCTTCATTATTGATTTAACAACAAAAAATGACAAAAAAAGGATTAGATTATTAAAGGAACTATTAGCTGATAAAGAGAGACATTAGTCTAGATTTGGTATTATATATCTCGGAAATGATAAAGCTTAATTCGATTTAATAGATGACTCTTAAGAAACAACTTATAATCTGTAAAAATAACTATAAAATCTCAAATTAGATGATTGGATAAACATTTTTAAGGCTTTAAGAGCGCATATAATTTTCAATAAAGAATAAATCTTACCTTCAATTTATATATTAAGTGAAAATTAATAATCCTAAAATGATGATTCAATATTAGAAGTAGTTGATCATTTATTAGAGGATACTTGTTAAAAACATTCTCTTAATTTTCATTGTAATAGTTACAAGTTAGAAGATAAAGAGTTTTATAGTGAATAAGAACTAAAATTATGATGTATAATTATTGTAATATAACTAAATAATTTTCATTAGAATTCTTAATGTTTTAATATATATAAATATATATAAATTTAAATAATAATAATAAGATTTTTCAAAATTAGTTTTAAATTCAATTCATTTATTGCTTAACTACTTAAACTTAAGTACTATTTTATCCATCATCATAAAGTATTATAATGTAAATTGTAAATCTATCATTAGATTTTTTATTTTAAATAAAGTAATCCTTAAATTTATTGTTTTTTGGATTAATAATAAGATGAAATGTTAAATATATGAGGTTAAGAATGAATTAAAGAACATAGTATTAAAATGAGATTAACAAATTTATTTGAAATATCTTAATAATTATATGTTTTATATATAAAAAGATTTAAGACTTTGAGTATAGAAGAAATTAGTTATTAAAATCTAAATTAGGTATTATAAATCATACTATGTACATAAACAATTATTTCAAAAATGTGTTTCTATATTTATTCTCTAAATTATTTTTTTTCCTTGTTTTTTCTTAGTTTAAGATTTTTTATGAAGTTTTTTTGTTTTTGAATTATTAGTAATGTCTGGATAATTTGATATTTGTGGAATATTCCAAGATGGTGTTTCTCTGCTATCATCTATATTATCAAGTTCATCTACATTTTAGATAGTTTCAAAATATATAAAACATGAATGTTTAACATCTATATTGTTACTTTCTAATTTGTTATCATTAATGTGATCATCATAGTTTTTTTAATAGAGTTTTGGATAATATTAAAATGTCTGAGGTCTATTTACAGTAATTTAATTATCCTCCTCTAATTATTCAATTTATGAATTCATTTTATTATTACTGACAAGTGATCCCATTATTTTAATTAAAAAAATAATTATTGTTTAAAGATTGATAAAGATAGTAATTTAAGAATAATCAAGGTATGTTTATAATAAACAATTAATAATAAATTAGATTTATTTTATATTAGAACAAATTTCCAATTAAATAACCTTAATTATTTTATTATCTTGTTATAATAACATTTTAATTGATAAATAAGCTTCATCTGTTGTTTTTGAATATAATATAGTTTATTTAATATAAGTATATACTTGAATTGAATACTTCAAAAGATTAATAAGACTATCTATTTGAACTTATTTATAATGATAATATAGATCTTTAAAAGTAAAATCATTAATATAATAAAATCTATATTATTATTTAGTAGATAATAATAGTTATCTGATAAATCTAAATTCATATTATATTTAACTTAAGAAACAGATTAATTTCAAGCTAAATTTGAATGTCTTACACAATACTAAAAGCACCTTATCTAAATTTTAAATGATTAATTATATTAAATTATATAAATTACAATGAGTTTAGTAACTAATAATCAAATTCTCATTTTTAATTCAAGTAGTAGTTCATCATCAATCTAATAATTTTAAGAAATGATCTTTTAATGAAGCAATTATTAATTGTCTGTTCTTCTCTAAAGATTAGGATTTATCTATATATTAATATTTAAATTATACAGTTGCTATATAATCCTATAGATTTAATTACTTAAGTAAATCTAAACTTCCAAATGCCAGAGGAGTGCAATTGTCTTTATTTATTAAATTTAAATCACCCCCTTTATTTAGAAAATCAATTATTATTTATTTATTACCTGATTAGAATGCCATATGAAGTGGAGTATTATCATTTGAACATTTTTAATTAACATCTGCTCCTGCTTTTAATAATAGCTTAGTCATATGAATATCACCAAATTTAGCACTATAATATAAAGGAGTATTTCCATATTAGTCATATTATTGTGTATCAGCCTTAACATATATAAATCCTGCTGATTCAGCAATTGTAACACTTTTCATTTTTGCTGCTTATATCAACTTTCTACTTTTTATTTTTGTTTCTCCACTAATTCTAATTTTAGTAACTTTATTAATTAAAGATTATTTTAAACTTTCATTCTTAAGTTCTTATTTTTAATGTAAGCTCTATAAATTACAATTCATTTACTTATTTAACAATTCTACTACTTGCTAAAGATATATCTAAAGTTTTTTATTAACTTAATCTTTGAGTTTATGGAGAAGATGGTGTAGAATATGGAATAAATATGGACTTTTGAATTTAATCTAGAGGTAATTTAGGAGGAGAAAATACTGAAAGATCTTTTAATTTTTCAGTCTATCTTTTACTTAATTCATGAGATAACTCTTCAAAAAATCTTTTAGCTTTCAAACATTTTTATATTTTAATTTCAATATCTCTATTTTTTAATACTGCTTTTTATCCAAGTATATTGGATACTTTCTTTTTATACAAATATCTTTTTATTGCCATTTTAATTTTATTAGCTGCTTGTATTTCTATCTCTTCTGATACCCAACCTTATTAAATAGGTAATTCTTTTGATTCTATTTAATTCATAAATTTTAATTATTAGCTTTAAAATCTTCTGCGAGATTATGGTCCTCCACTATAAAATTATAGAAATTCACTTTTCTATATATTATAATTTCTTATAGCTAATCTGAAATTTTGACTTTACTTTATTAATTTCTCTTTCTAAATTTGATTTTATTTATCTTCTTATGCTGATATCAATAATTTAGATGGAGGATGAAATTTGTGTTTAACTTATTCTAATGGCATTTCTTCACCATCTTTTATAAATAATGGTTTAATCATTTATTTTTATGCATTTCTTTCAAAGAAATTTTATTATGAAACTATTTAATTCCCTTTTTTCTTATTTCATTATAATAATTACTTATCTATATCTTTTAACAACATTTTACATTATTTCTTTAAACTTTTAAACATAAATGTTTGCTAAAGGATTTCCTGATTTTTATAATCTTCTTAAAATTGATTATTTCTTGATTTCTATTGCTTCTTTTATAAATTTTTTTTTTTATGCTTATATTAAATATTATACAAATTTAGATTTTACAACTTTCATTTAAAGAGAATCTTTGGATAAATATTATTTTTTTTTATAATTTATGGTCTTATCAGCTATGTATCAAATAATTAATTACCAATTTATTTTCTCTTAATGACATTCTACTCTTCAAAATATTGTTATCTTTTTTTCATTTAATTTTCTTTTAAAGTATAATAATCTTCTAAAATCTATTCTGAAATATTTAACTCAATTTACTATTTTATCTATTCAATATTTTTTTATAAATATACTTCATTCTATAATGAATTGATTGCTCTTTATATAAATTCTTTGTCAACATTTTTATTTATTAAAAAACTTGTAGATGCAATGTATTATAATTCTTCTTTTGTTATATAATTTCCAGTTTACTCGCATTTATCAAGTATTATTCCTCTTTTACTGGTTTGTGTTCCATTTGCTAATTACTTTTTCATCGTTTCATATCCTTTTTAAATATAATTTTTATTCATTGATATGAATTATGCTTCTACTGCTTTATTCCACTCAAAATATACATCAGGTTATTAGATATCAAAATTTTTAAGATTAAATTTAGTTTATTAATTGATATTATTTAATTCTGAGTTATCATTTTTACATTATTTCTCAAAAAAAACCCTAGGAGAATTTTGTATCATTTATACCAAGGCAAATTTAAGTCTTTTTAAAATTGCTTTATATTATGATTTAACCTTTAACCATCCATATAAATCTAGTTTATCATCAATATTTTATATATTACTTTTAGTAGAATCATATTTTTAGATAATTCCTAATTAATTAATTAAATACTATCAAATTAGTTTGAGATTTCATCAACAGTACATCTAATGATGTAATTTTGTTTTTCTTCAAGTTTTGTAAATTATTATAAAATATTAAAATCAATTCCAAAATCTGAACAAATATTCTGATACTTCTATTTTAAAGGTTTACCTTAATTTGATTTATTTATTAATTTTTCAAATATAGTACACATATTTTGAATTTAAGTTTATTTAACATAAAGAGAATGTGTTCTTGATGTTGATCTAGTCAATGGTTATTTTGATATTTGTGTAAATCTATTTTGAATTTGTTATTTAGTCATAAGATTAGCAAACTCAGATTGAGTTGTTTCTTATTTGAATGAGTAATTTCTAGGTTTCATTTATTTAATTTATAATGTAATATTATTATATATATGAATCAAATATCTTAAAGTAAATTCAATATTTATTAAGGTGAATATCTTTATTTTGGATTAATGGCTAACATTCCTTTTAATAATTAAGTTAATAAAGGTGTAACTTAAATACCAGAATAATTTTATTCTCTCAATACAAATTCTAGATTAGTAAGTATTTTAATTTATTTTTCAACAATTTTACTAAAACTTCTACCTGTAACAGCAAATAAACCTTAAGCCATGACTTTCTGACCTTTATAATTAATTACTTATGTGTCATAACTCATCCATAATGGTAATCCTGAAATAATTTCTAAGATAACACATCCTAATCCCCAAATATCTATAACCCAAGATTTATCATAATTTACAAGTGATTCAATTAATTGATTATCATAAGACATTTAATTTTCTCTTAGTATAAATGTTAACATTTCTGGAGACATATATTCAGGTGTTGCCATTGAGAATTTTTCAAATACTTCTACAAATTTAAAAGATGAACCATAATCTATAATTTTAAATTCAACATCTTGTTATCCATAAGAGATAAGAATGTTTTCACTTTTAATATCACTATGGACCCAACCTGTCTTTACTAGTAATTCTATAGTTTATGTGATTCTTTTTATAAATTTAAATAAAAAGACAGGAAACTACTTAAAGAGCAAACTTAATTTCTATGGAATTAACTACCATGTATTCTTATTATACCTTATAACTATTATTGAGGGATTCAAAGTCATACAATTAAGTACCCAATGAATATCCACAAACTTCATATATTATGAATACATCATGCGGATCAATGACATAATCTAACATTTTGCATAGATTTTTAATTCCTTCATTTTACTAATATTAACTCTTTATTTAACCTCCTTTATTAAAAAATTAAGTGCAAAATGCTAATTCTTTAAAATGAGTTTCATGTTTAGATTTTCTTGGAATCTATTTTACAGCACATAATGCACCTCCTTTCTATTCTTTAGCTAACCAAATCAATGAAAAACCCCCTCTTCCCAATAGTTTCTCTCTTTAAAATCCAAAAGGAAATCTATTTCCAAATTTATCCCATTCCTCTATAGTAATTTCAAATTACTAAATAAATGATTTAGCATCATTTACTTAATTTTATTTAATACCAACAGACTAAAAAAGAGATTATTATTATTATCTTTGTTATTGTTATTATTATTATTATTATTATTATTATTATTGTTGAATAGAATACGATCTTTATTTTTGACTTGTATATAAAGATGTTCTATTTTAATTATTAGGAGATTAATTGTAATCTCCAATGCTATTATTTCTTTTATTTGATATCGATCTTTTTGTTTAAATTTAGCTTCTTTATGATAGTTAAATTATTTTTGGTTGATTTGAGAATTCTGTTTCTGAATCAGATTATTGTTGAGTCATCAATCTATTTGTTTTGTTATTCAATAACCCTTTATTCATTTTCCATCTGTTTGAGAATACACTATGTTCCACCTTATTTAATGGTGAATAATTTAAAGATATCTATACATAACACAATTTACTTACTGGCTTTGAGTTTCGAGTATCATCAACTTCCGTTTAGATATTTAGTTTCTATTTACAATACAGTTATTTTAATTACAACTGATGTTATTACTTAATACTCCTTTTCATTAGATAATTCTTAATTTATATATATTTATATATATATAGAATCACTAATCACTCTTTTTCTAATTTTCAACTTCTAATTGAAGTCCAATCTTAGAATCATTAATTGAAAATTCAATCTAAGGTTGAGTATTAGATGTTTCTAATTGGATTACTTTTTCTCTAGCCTCCTTCCAAAATCGAAGTAGTGCTAAATATTTATATATTAGCAATCCTATTATTCCGATAACAATCAATCCTCCAATAATTATAGTCTTATATATTAAAGGTTCATCTTCCTTTGTCATTATAGCATAATTGAAGTATAATGTATAGCTTTTCTTTTTTTAACAACCTTAACAATCACTATTGTAATATTCCAATTCAAAATGAAAGGGTGATTGTTTTGCTTCCTCTTAACTTTAGCATGTACAAATTATTTCAAACTTCCCCTTAAATTTTAAATAAAATACTTACTGCTAAGAGATTTAATTTTAAAAATCTTGTTCTTGTATATGCATATACATAATCTGTTTTTCCAGAACTGGTTACTTTAGATAACATTAAAACATCTAAGATTTAAGGAACTAACAGATTTGATTAAACTTTATAATTTTATTGATTCAAATAAACAGCATCAACTCCAACTGTAATTATACTTTATGTTTTCTCTCCTATCAATAAGGCATATAAACCATGAATTACAATATGCTTTACTTTTTAATTTATGTATTGCATATTTAATTCTTTTAAATTAATTGAATCAAATGAATAATCTATCTATATAAATAGGTTTTATTGATTACAATGATATGTCCTTTATTGTCATCATTAACAACAACTAATATTCCTCTATTATACAATTTGAAATTGACTGCTTATGGTTTTGTCATTAAAATTTACTATTAATTATCATTTAAAGTAATTGAATCTTCAAAATTTATAATTTAAGCTATGAATGTTGAATTTTGATACAAAAGAAATATTCTAAATTATTAAGTAATTATTTCAAATTCAAAATGTATTATATTTGATTCAAATTTATAAATTTCCTCCATTTTTTTATTGTATATTTTTAGATTTCCATCTAAATATAATATAAAAATGTAAGTTGAATAAACCTTAATTAATTTAATTGAATTGACATTAATTGAATCCTATGTATAATTACTAATAAATTAGATTGTTTTATTATAATATGTATTATTATGAACTTCATATTCATACACATTATTATTTTACAATAGGAGTAATAATATATTTAATGACTCAATTTAAATTAAATAAGAATTTTCAATTGATTCATTTATTTAAAAGTGTTAAATCTTGGCAATATTTTGATTTATATCATTATGAGAAATAAATGTTAAATTTTTATCACTTGTTAATATAATAATGCCATTAGTATTTATAACAGCTTATTAAATAAATTCTGTTTAACCATAAAATTTGCCATTCACAAAATTAATTTCAAAATCTTACTCTGTTTTATGAGTAACCTTTAATTATGACTCTATTTCAATTTCTAAATGTTAAGGCCTAGCTGAACATTATGTTTGATTAGTATGTTTTTTATTGTTATTTGAAATGTGATATTTGTATATATATCCAGATTCATCTATAATATCAATAATATTTTCTTTGTATAATGGCAATTAAAGAGCTTGATCTAATTTTAGTTGGTTTTGATTGGAGATTAAAGGAAAGATAAATATAATAGTTATAAACATAAATTTGATTAATCAAATTTTTTAATAAATATGTTTTCATATAATATATCATTATAAATGTTTTTTTAGACCAGTTTATTCTACTTAATTCAAGAACTCTTATTTTAATGCAAGACCAATCTAACCAATATCATTTTCTGATCCATTATATAATACACAATTATCAAACACCAAAATAATATCATTATAGAATTCTTTACAATTTTTATAATGATTTGTATTTAGTTTTTGCTATTTAATATTATTATAATACCTTTATAGTTCCAAAATCCATAGGTTTTTTAACAATATCATAATAATCATTTATTCCATACTTTTTTTAATCAACAGGATTATGAAATAATTATGCACCTTTTGCTTTCCATAATATTTATAACACTTTTTTTGCTACTTTTTCCCAAAGTTCATCATCCTTAATTGAATTCAAAACATTGTCATCTATTAAATCATCAGCATTTATTATTAAATTAGCTATTTAAGGGTATTATTATTGAAATCTAGCAAATTCAGATTATGTAACTTCTTAAAGATTACCATATTCATCAGTAAACATTAATTTATATGCTTATTTTGGTAAATCCTTATTTTTCTTCTTTTATTATTTTTATTATTCTCCTTTACTATTATCATTATTATTATAATTAGAATTTTATTTATTATCATCTTTACTTTTTCCAAAATATTAATTAAATAATTCCATCACTTCTTTCCTTTAAAATCTCTTTGCAAAAAATTAAGCTGTTTTTTTATGTTAATCCTAATGATTTGGATTACAACCATTCTATATTAAATAAATGTTTTTACATCTATTAAAATTTTACATATTTCAGCATTTCCTTCTCTAGCTGAATAAAATAATGCTGTTTGATTTGATAATGTGTCTACTAAATTGACATTGGCTCCTACTTAAACAAGTCTAATATCAAATATTTTATATCTACCTAGTTACAATATCAATTTTATTATCTCTAGCTGCATAAAACAATGGGGTTTATCCATATTAATCTTGATCATCTATATTAACGGCATTTTAGGATAATACAAAATCAAGTAATTTTAGTTTACCATCTCTACATATATAAAATAATATTGATTATTTTAATGAATCCTTAAAATTTAAATTAACTTTAAAATCTGTCAATAACGATAAAAATTTCAATGCCAATCCTTCATTATCATATTACACCACAATATAAGAACAAATCTATTTACTTTGTGAATCAATTACATTAACCAAATCCATTTCTTTATATTATTCTAAAAATATTCATTAAATCTTCTTACATAGTAAATTCACTACCTTTTCATATTCTTAGCCTTTTAAAAAGCTTTTGAATTCATCATAGATTTATTATTATTACTCTTAAGTAAATTTTTGTTAATTCCAATCTTACTCTACTCTTTATGGAATAGGTTGCTATGGTTGAGTAGGGAATCTATAAGTAGGAATATTTGGAACCATAATACAAAGCATAAACTAATTATAATCTATATACTTAATTACTTTTACTTATTTCATCATCATTAAATTTTGATAATACATTGTTTATTTACATTTCATTGTAATTCATAGCCTACAAAATAGTTATCAAATCAGTCCTAGTTATTTTCCCATTTTTTTAGAATTTTTAAAAAAAGGCATCGTATGGTTATACATACATGTATTGCATATTTATATATGATAAATATTATAATTGATATAAAATATAACATAATAATTATGTAATATTATTTTATCTCATTTTAAATACATTATTTTTATATTGAATATATTATACCAATATTAACAATAATTAATATTAAACCTATAAATAAATAATCAATTTCATTAAAGTACAAATGACTTTGAACTTGAATCCCATGGTTGCAATCTATCTGAAATATTAGGTTCAGGATTAGGTTCTGTATATATATCTTACTTTGGCAATGAATGACGATACTTTAACTTTTAAGGTTAACGATCTAGACAATTAAGTTTAGGAAGAAAACAATCTTTTACAGTTTCAATTTATCTACCCTTTATCTCATCAATTGTATTAGAGTATTTCTTTCGAATTTCTGGTTTATCTTTTACTTTTCTCTTTATTATATTATCGATATATGATTGATATATTGTATTTCTTTTTGGAATATTATTAATAACAAAAGGAGATGGATTTAGTTAATGGATATTTTATCTTTTTATTATTTTTGATGGAATTACAGAAAGTTCTATATTTTTTGAAGGGGATGATTGAGTATTAATACGATATGTGAATATTGGAAAAACTTATCCTTTATTGTTCTGTTTAATTAAGCCTTTCTTAACAAAGAATTAAAAACTTGGCTCTTTATAAACTAAATGTTTTTCTTTTGAAGCCATTATAAAAAGAAAATATTAATAGCTTATATTTAATTTATTTCAAATAATATTTAGACCTATTATCATTCATTTTAATATAATTTTGCAAAAATCAGTAAGAAGGATAAGGAAAAAATGAATAAAAAGTAAAGTAAATAAAATATTGGACTATCTAAAATTAATGATTTTGCTATCTATCAAACTAAATTTGATTAATCTACCCAGAAATTTTGAGAAGCTCTTAACAAATTTTAGATAAGTAAACTAAAACTTGAAATTATGGAGAAAGTATCAATTTAAGCTTATAAAGATAAATTTACGCTCATACTTAAACATCTCAAAAGAGAATAGAATAATAGTTGTAAATAATATAAATACTATAAATAAATTGATGAAAGGATGCTAATGTCAAAAAACTTAAGTTATTGATAATTCAAAGATTATCTAAGTATTTAAAAGTAAATAATATCTTAGACAAATCATATATGAATGTGTTGATAATGTAAATAATTATCTAACCTTATAAAAAAGTAACTTATGAAGCATTATATAATAAAAAGAAATATATATACAAGAGTTATTTGAAAATTTTACATATAATCCTTGAATTCATTATATAATTTAAAGAGAGAAAGAGTTATTAAATAATTGATTATTTTTAGAATATTTAATTTATATCGAATTCTCTATTTTGCATACATCAATAGTNTTAAAGTACAAATGACTTTGAACTTGAATCCCATGGTTGCAATCTATCTGAAATATTAGGTTCAGGATTAGGTTCTGTATATATATCTTACTTTGGCAATGAATGACGATACTTTAACTTTTAAGGTTAACGATCTAGACAATTAAGTTTAGGAAGAAAACAATCTTTTACAGTTTCAATTTATCTACCCTTTATCTCATCAATTGTATTAGAGTATTTCTTTCGAATTTCTGGTTTATCTTTTACTTTTCTCTTTATTATATTATCGATATATGATTGATATATTGTATTTCTTTTTGGAATATTATTAATAACAAAAGGAGATGGATTTAGTTAATGGATATTTTATCTTTTTATTATTTTTGATGGAATTACAGAAAGTTCTATATTTTTTGAAGGGGATGATTGAGTATTAATACGATATGTGAATATTGGAAAAACTTATCCTTTATTGTTCTGTTTAATTAAGCCTTTCTTAACAAAGAATTAAAAACTTGGCTCTTTATAAACTAAATGTTTTTCTTTTGAAGCCATTATAAAAAGAAAATATTAATAGCTTATATTTAATTTATTTCAAATAATATTTAGACCTATTATAGTTTCTTATTGTAATAATTAACAGTATCATTCATTTTAATATAATTTTGCAAAAATCAGTAAGAAGGATAAGGAAAAAATGAATAAAAAGTAAAGTAAATAAAATATTGGACTATCTAAAATTAATGATTTTGCTATCTATCAAACTAAATTTGATTAATCTACCCAGAAATTTTGAGAAGCTCTTAACAAATTTTAGATAAGTAAACTAAAACTTGAAATTATGGAGAAAGTATCAATTTAAGCTTATAAAGATAAATTTACGCTCATACTTAAACATCTCAAAAGAGAATAGAATAATAGTTGTAAATAATATAAATACTATAAATAAATTGATGAAAGGATGCTAATGTCAAAAAACTTAAGTTATTGATAATTCAAAGATTATCTAAGTATTTAAAAGTAAATAATATCTTAGACAAATCATATATGAATGTGTTGATAATGTAAATAATTATCTAACCTTATAAAAAAGTAACTTATGAAGCATTATATAATAAAAAGAAATATATATACAAGAGTTATTTGAAAATTTTACATATAATCCTTGAATTCATTATATAATTTAAAGAGAGAAAGAGTTATTAAATAATTGATTATTTTTAGAATATTTAATTTATATCGAATTCTCTATTTTGCATACATCAATAGTACTATCCATAATTTATTTGATTGTTTTGAAGTTCAAATACCTTTATTGATTAATATTAAAATAATCAAATAAGAATATATACAATAAAATAAATATTATGTATTCTAAATAAGCAACAATCTCAAAATCTTAGAACTTAAAATCCAAACTGTCAATTAAGGATACTATGTCAAATTCTCATTAAATTCATAGTCAACCTCAATCTTCTAAAGGTTAAGACAATCTAAAATATGAAGTATATTTGTTTTAATTTAGAATAAATAAGATTGTAATCAAATGAAGAAGAAACTTTTCAACATTTTGGGTAAGAATAGTGAATCACATAAAATATTCAAAGTCTCACCAACTAACTCACTTAAACAATAATATTTCGTATCTGCATCTCTATAATAAAAATCAAAGGGAACTATGTAAAAATGCAATCATACAACTGAAAATAATGATTCTCTCTAAATTAATAAGTGTAATGCTTTGAAGTTACTAAAATCTAATAAACATAGAGATATAAATAAATATAATGAATTCATATCAAATAACAATTTTGACATGTAAAAGTAATTTGGAAATTTTGTTCGTTCTATTGATGAAATTTAAGCTGATTAATTACCTAAATAAAATACTGAAAGAAGTACTTTAATTGCACTATTTGAGAAACTTAATGAAAAGGATTAACAATAATTTAAGCCAAAAAGATAAACACAATAAAAATCAGAATCATATTCATTTAAGTAATCTATAGAAGGTGAATTTATTGATTTGAGATTAAGATAAAAAAACAAATGCAATTTTTCAAACAATTCATCAGGATAATTAGTAAATCCAAATTCAACAACAACATAAATACATCAAAATCCTTAAATATCAATTGAATAGAAAATAAAAATAGAAGAGAATTTATTAACAATTATAGATAAAACTAAATAAATTTTATTAAAATATTAAGCTAAATTGAAATAGAATGATTATGAAAAAGATGTATTAATATAAGAAATTTAATATTGGAAAAATAAATACTTAAAATGTAAACAATAATAATTTTGAATTTTTTATTTATGTATTAAAATTTTGTAATAAATTTATCATCATTTAATTTTCATGAATAACAATTCTGAAGATAAGAATACTGAATTTTAAGAAGAGCCTATGACAGAAGAAGAAAGACAATTTGCTGAAGAATTGGATTAAAAAATTTAGAATGCATAACAAAAATTGGATTAATTAGGATTAACATAAAGTAGATTGGATTGGTTGTAAGATACTATAAAAAAGAGATAAGAAGAAAATCCATTAACAGAAGAAGAGAAAAAAGAGAAATTTTAATAATTGGCAGATAAAGCTATTGATATACCTACAATTGATAGATAAGGCAGAAAGATTTTTACATTAGAAGAAACTTTAAATAATTATAATAATGCTTGGGGATTATTAAAATATAGAGAATTACCAATTTGTTGGAGTAATTTAAAGGATAAAATAATATTTACATTACCTATGACATTTATGGCTGCATATACTTATGAGGCTATGCAATTAAAAAAGATTAATTTAAGTTTGAAAGAGATGAAATTTAAATTATTAGGTAGAAGTTGGGGTGTATTCTTTATTCTTGGAACAACTTTTTGTATATTAGATTCTCTATATTTTGATGATTTTTGGTAATATATTGAAATGATATTAATATAGTGATATCAAATCTTATCATTATTAGACAAATGATAGAAAGAAATTAGCAAGAGAATTAAGATCACAATTATTGAATAAACCAAATAAAAAGGATCAAAATTGAGAGTTGTGTATAATTTAATTGTGATGTTAAAATATATTTTTAAAAATTCAATTACTTCCTTTCATCTCTTATCTAAATATCAAATAAGCATAGATAAGATTCGGAATTTTTGTATAATAGCTCATATTGATCATGGAAAATCAACTTTAGCAGATAGATTTCTTGAAATAACAGGAACTATAAGTAAAGGAAAACATGAATAATATTTGGATAAATTGGAGGTTGAAAAAGAGAGAGGAATCACTGTTAAAGCATAATCAGCAGCTATGTTTTATACAGTTAATGGAATAGAGGTAATATATATATAAAATAGTATGAATTTAGTATTTATATAATTTGATTGACACTCCTGGACATGTTGATTTTACATATGAAGTATCACGTTCAATGAGAGCTTGTGAAGGTGCTATATTATTAATTGATGCAACATAAGGTATTCAGGCATAAACATTATCTAATTATATTTTGGCAAAGAAGTAGAATTTAAAGATTATACCTGTAATTAATAAAATAGATATGACATCTGCTAATACTGATAGTGTAATATAATAACTAGTTGAAAAATTTGATATGAATCCAAATGAAATATTTAAAGTATCTGCTAAAAAAGGAACTGGAGTTACAGATTTATTAAATAATATTGTTACATTGATACCTCCTCCATAAGATCATAAAGAGCTTAAATGTTTTTTGATTGACAGTTGGTATGCTAGAGATAAAGGAGTTGTATTGTTAATATTAATGAAAGGAGGTTATCTAAAAAAAGGAGATTAAATCTTATCTTGTGCATTCAAAAAGAAATATGATATTTTTGAAGTATTAAAATGTATTAAATTAGGTAGGAATATAAAGTCCAGAGAATGTCCCTTAAGAAAAATTAGAACCAGGTTAAGTAGGATATGTAATAACAAATATGAAAGCATCAAATGAGGCAAGAATAGGAGATACATTTAGACATCCTCTATCTAAAACTTTGCCTGAAGCAGGTTTTGAATAGGTTAAACCATTGGTTTATTGTGGTATTTATCCAGAAGATCCAGATGATTATGCTGAATTAAATAAATCAATATTCAAATTAGCATTGACTGATCCAGCTGTAATAATACAGAAGGAGAGTTCAGCAGCATTAGGAAATGGATATAGATGTGGTTTTCTTGGAGTTTTACATATGGATGTTTTTAGAGAGAGATTAGAAAATGAATATAATTTAAGTGTTTTATTGACATCACCAAGTGTTCCTTATAAAGCAATTTTAAGAAATGGAAAAGAAGTAATGGTTGAAAATGCAATTATGGCACCAGATGCAGCTATAATAAAACATTATGAATAACCTATGGCAATTGCAACTATAATGTGTCCAGAAGAATATAGTGCAACTATATTTTAATTGTGTGATGCTAGAAATGGTAGATTAGTTGATTAAGAGAAATATGATAAATAAGATAGATTCATTTTTAAATTTCCTTTAAATGAAATCATTTAAGATTTATTTGATAAAATAAAGAGTGCAACAAAAGGATATGGATCATTAGAATATGAATTCTGTGGTTTTGAAAAAGCTAATATTGTTAAATTAGTAATTCATTTAATGGAAGATCCAGTGGATGCATTATCATTTATGGTACCAGAAGAAAGAGCACATTAATTAGGAAAGAAGATATGTTAAAGATTAAAGGAAAATATTCCATAACATTTATTTGTTGTATCAATTTAAGCTAAAGTTGGTGGTAAAGTAATAGCAGCAGAGAAAATAGGAAGTACAGGAAAAAATGTAACTGCAAAATGTTATGGAGGAGATTATACAAGAAAGAAAAAGTTATTGGATAGATAGAAGGAAGGTAAGAAGAGAATGAGAGAAGTTGGTAGAGTTACTGTAAGGAAAGATACTTTCATTAGTGTATTCAAAGATGATTGAAATATAAATATATCATATAATCATAACTTTTGTATGTTATTCATTACCTATTTTATTAATGACTTCAAGATATCTAATTTACATAGCTGCTTTAGCACTTAATAATTCAGCAGCTTATTTCATTAATTAAGCTGATTAAACATTAGATTCAGCAATTAAAATCTTTGCTTATGCAGCTCTTAAAATATAATATATATATTTACCTAAGTTCTGTTGCTGCTTATGCTAATGCAGATTTAATCTTTTCATTTATTTAAATGTCTTTTATCATCATTAATTCAATATCTATTCCCCAATCATCTACATGATCATCAACAAATTATTATATATAATCTTAAATCTCTGTTCTTTTTTCTAACACATCTTATAAGGTATATGCACCAATAACACTTTTTATGGCTGCTAATGTTATTTAAGATATAGCCATTTTAATATCGTAAATGTAAAATATAGCCTTTTTTGGTTCCAATACTCTGTAATAAACAGATGCATCAACCATAATAAGAATATTATCTTTTGTAATTACAAATTGTTTTTCACAATCAATCATTTAAGTTCTACAATCAATTTTTATCAATTTATCTGTACAAGGATTAAAATATTATAAACCTGGAGGCACTAAAATAATTATGTAATCCTATACTTGTTTTTACATACTTTCCAAATCTTAAATATACTCCAACGTAACCCTATTCAATTTTTTTGTATGGATATTCTACAAATGGATTACATGGACAAAATGCTGAACAATTTCCACAACATTCACCACAGTTATAAATATAATTTTGATAAGATCCTCCTAAATTTAAATTCTTCTCGTTCTCATTTAAATTCTCTCTAGCATATTTCTATTATGGTTTATTTTCATTTAAATAAGGATTTATTTTCTCTTTTTCTAATGCATCTGGATGAACTTTAGATTTTTAATATTTTTATATTACTTTTAGCAAGTTGCATGTTTTGTAGTAATATATTAATTTATTTATAAACTATTATTATATTAATGAATTTTGAAGATTATTAATATCTCTTCAAATTTGTATTGATTGGAGATACAGGTTCATTTATTTATAATTCTTAGGTGTTGGTAAATCATGTTTCTTATCTTAATATGTTAAAGGAAAATTCATTTAGGAATATGATCCTACAATTGGATTAGAGTTTGAAAGTAAATCAATTGAATTTAATGATGGTATTGTTGTTTAAAATTAATTATGGGACACAGTAACTATCATTATTTTAATTAGTCTGGAAGCTCTTAATTTATGGCAATTTAGAAAACATTTTGTTAAAAGTAATCAATTATCTTTATATCCTTAATTTTAGTGCTGCTGCTGCTATTATATTCTATAAAATAGATAGTCAAAACTCATTTAAATCATTAGAAAATTGGATTAATATCCTTAAATAAGTTTCATCTGACATGATTCAAATTGTTATTGTTGCTACACATTAGGATCTAGAAAATCAAAGGTCTTTTTATTCTTGAATTTAGACAAGTACAAACTCAATAAGGAAGAAATCTTGCAGATTCTATAGATGCCAAATTTTATGAAATATCCAATCATGACAAAGATTAAATTGATGGAATTATTAATTCTCTATCTTATAATGTATTACGATTAATCAATTCCAATAAAATCAATCCATTAAATACAGTATTCATATGTATTATAATAGCAATATGGAGTTAAAATGAGTAGATAATAAGAATAATAATATGCATCTTAATTAGATAATACTGATGATAATAATGTTTAACAATAATCCTCTCCAAATAGGAGAAGTCTAGATATGAAATAAGAATAAAATACGATCTCTCCCAACAAAACAACAGCTTCTCCATAAAGAACAGAATAAGAAGAAACAGAATAAAATTAATAATAAAATAAGCCACAATTTCAATTAATATTTATTCTGCTACCAATAATAATTGCATATGGATTATATTATATATTATTATGAATAATTGTGTATTAAAAATGTATATTTAATAATAATATTTTTAATCAATAATTCTCAAATGAATTCTAAAATATTATTATTAACATCTATGTGCATATTTCTTTGTTTACAATTACCCTATACATATAATTATAACAATTACATATAGATATTTGTTTAATTCAATACCCATCCAACCTACTATAATTGAATGCATTATTGGATTGCTTCTGTGCATTTCTAAAGCATATTTTTAAACTTTATATAATGGAATTGGTTGAAGATTATAATTTTTACATCTTAAATTTGTTAATGAATGAATGCATCTAACATACAAACCTCGAACTTAATCATCATCAAAATTTAAGAATTATGGTTTATTTTATGATGAATATTCAGTTGGAGTAGGAACTAAAGGATTTGTTAGATTCCAATAATTCTCTGTCATTTATTACAATTTATCAATAACATATTCCTATTTGAATACAGAACTGGCATTAATGTTGAATAATTTAGATATTAAAAGAGTAGTTATCTATATATAAGCTACATGATCCATATTATTAGAATCAAATTTAATGGGTTAAGGAATCTTTTTATATCCAGTCCATACACATTCTAAAGCATCTGTTGGATATTATTTTAATAACTAATTAATCTTAAACTCAAAATGAAATTCATATAATTCTTTTGATAAACTTAGTATTTTATCAAGAGTTAAATTAAATCCTGGTTTAGATATTCTATTAATTACATGAGCTCTAATATGATAATTATCAACCCTAATAATATTAATATAATATTATACACATCAGGTTCTTCAAAATTTTAGAGATATGTATTTCTATCTTAAAGGAATTTTTAAAAATCAGTTACAAAACCTACAAAACTATTATCAAAAACTTCCTTTGCCCATAAAACACAATGAATTGGAAGATAAGGAAATTTCTTATAAGTATCCTAATCTACATTATATACATTCTTTAAAGTCTCTTAAATTTACAATTATTAATTTGGTTTTCCAAATTAAGTGTAAGCCTTTAAACCATTTAAAATTTAATCAAATAAAATTTTATTATGTTTCTAAGCTTATTATTAGATAAGTAATCTTGATGTTTAATTATTAATGGCAGAAAAGATGATATCATGTTATTTTACAATGATTTCAGATTTCTCACTGAATTTACTTTTATCAACATCAATATTCATAGAACTACAAAGTAATTATGCTTAATCTTTTGCAACATCAGCTTTGGACATCCCAAGTGTTTATTAACTATTATTATTTAATAATTTACTTAAACCAATAATGAGTTCCTAAAGTATATTTACGTACAATATCATCATCTAAAATAGTAAGTTTAGAATTAGGTTGAGTGCAACACTCCATTAAAGAAAAAAGCCGAACTACTTCACATCCAGTTCCTCCACTTCCAATAACCAAAGCATTAAGAGATTACAATTTGATTTTAATCTACTATTCATCATTATCAATATCACTAATAAATTGAATGAAAGAACATTCTTATGGAGTGAATTTACCAGTAAATTTGACTACTTCCAAACTGCAATAACCTGCCCAAAGACTGATAACTGGATATTTGGTTGTCTACATGAATTTGATAGTTTTTTAACACAACTGAACATCAAATTAATCTAAATCAAATGTTTTATATATGGCTAAAGCAATATTAATGATCTCCTATTCACTCTATGGTTTTGATGTTTAATCTAAAAGTTATAAATTGGCAATGACAGTACTATAAACAACCTTATCCTCATTAGTTTTAAGTGTATTAGGTTTGTATATGGTTTCTGATAATTTTTAAAAATGAAATTTAAAAGGTACTTTAGTTAATTAAACTAATCCACCTGCCAAATATTTATTAAAATGTTATGTATGTTCAATAGAAAATTCAGTTTGAGATATTACTTTGATTGGACGTGCTTCTGGTCCATTTACTTATGTCATACCTTCAACATTACTGATTCTTACAAAATCACCAGTCTTATAATTATGTGGAATAGATTCATGAATTTTTACTATACCTGGATTTGAATTAGTAATGTTTATAATATGATAGGGAAATGGCTATACTCCATCTCTATCAAACACTTTGAATCCTTAACCAAAATCTGAAAATTTAATACAGATAAATCCAAAAGTACATGTCCATATAACACCTTTATTATACTTTTAATTTTTAGATGCATTTTAACGCAAGTGTTCACTTACTGCTATTGCAAAATTTAAGGATTAAATATCACAAATTATTGTTAAATCATGTTTATCTATTTTTGACAGGATTTCATTGTCCTTGTAAGACATCTCAAGTGTTTCTATTTATGTTACATTATTTATTTTTAGAAGTTATTCACATTATTTTAGTCTTTGTGATTATGAATCGCAAAGTGTTATCAATTCAGGTTATTGTGTAGAAATATGTTTGGCAATCTCTAATCCAAGCTAGGATTGTAGTTATTAATTACACTTGACAGTCCGATGATGATAATCTTAAGACGTTAGAATTTCTAAGCTGTGGTCTTTCCAAATAATTTGAGTTCCTTCTCCGTCGCCAATTCATCGAATGATTGAATTTACATAGAAATATTTTAATTAATTAATTATTTATTTATGGACTAAGTAATATTAATTAGATAGCATATTATATCAATATATATGAAGAAAGATGTAGAATAATCTCTCATAATATATATATATATTATTTCATATAATAATACTATTTTAAATATTTTAAAGAATTGTTTAATAGTTGTAATTCTTATAACTATTAAATACTTCATTAATATTGTGAATGAATCAAAAATTAAAGTTATATGTTGTCGAATAATTTAGACTTAAATTTTTATTTTCCTAATTCTTAATTTAGATTATTTGAATTTGAACTAAAAAATTAATTCCCTTTCAAATAAATAAAAAAAAATTTTAGGTTAAATAAAATTCAATTAAGATAATTAGTTCATAGATAAAATATTAATAAATTCATATATGTCTAAATTAAGGTTCAAAATAAATATCAATGAGTGGAAAAAATTATATCTTTTTTTAAGAAAATGTTGTAAAGAATCAATATTAATTGAATGTTGTTTATTTAAATTATTAAATTTGATATATTAATATATTAATTAGTATTTAATTAATAATGCATTAGTTAGAATTCAAAAATTTTAGAACTTTATTTAGTTTGATTGTAATTTATTATCATAATTCATTTGATTACATTGTAATTTAATTATTTATTGCATATTAATTTATTATCTTGAAAAATTTATCTACTAGAATCATAAAAATCTGATAAATTATTTTTATGGAGTTTATTATTTTGATTAATGCTATGTTATCATTATGTATTTAATTAATTATTTAAATTATATTAATAATATCAGACTTATTATATTTCTTATTTGTTATATATTTTAATATATTTAAATAGGTTGTATACACAAATAAACTCAAAATTTATCCATTTTTAGATCATCATAATTATTTAAATGTTGTAAATGAATTGGATCTTTTTCGATTACCTTCTTTTTATTATATTTCTTATTTGGATTATTTCAATTACCATACAAATTAATTAGGAGTACAACTTAAGGTACTTTTTTAACATTCAATTTCAGATATAGAATAGCATGAGTCATCCTCATCTTCTATATATTATTCATTTTTTCTTGGATTTATGTAATTTTCCAATATAAATTTCTCCAACTATCCTTTTTCATAAGATTGAAATAATTATCCTAAATCCTTCGTATCATGAGAAACTACAAAATTCTTCAACTCACTTCTCTCTTCTGCTGTAATCAAATTCTATTGAAACATACTTTATATTGTACGAAGTAGCGATGAATAAAACGGAACTAACTCTATATTTGAAGACATATTTAAACGAATTATATTAAAATATTGTTTTAGTTTTTAACTAAATATATTATACACTAATTCTCAGAGCAATATATAAGATCATATATTTGTTAATTGATATTACATAAAACTATAAATTTTATTATCATGAACATTTCAAAATTAATGAGGTTCATTTTAAGTTGGTAACAAACCAAATCTCTTCTTTAATTCAACACGATATTTCTAATTTAAATCATCAGGACTAAATCTTGCTATAAAATTATTTCCTATCAATACCAGGATGAGCATTAAATGTATATGAACCATCATCAAGTGTGTTTTTTAAAGTATACACTCTTTTTCCCTCTTCATTCAAATAATACCTCAAATGCATTTTTTATTTTAATAATTAATTAATAGAGATCTATATTAAAAAAAAATATATTTACTCAGAGTTAATGATTTTTTATTGTGTTTATTTTTTCTAACTTTTTTTACTTAATATTTGGAATTTAAAGTCAAATGATTCATTATTGTTAAAATGTTAATATTAAACAAATTATTTTCTCCTTTATTTTCCATATTAGTAAATCAGCCTGTAATAAGAATGTATTATAATTGGGATATTACAATCAAAATATGAGTAGAAATTATTTTGAATAATTTATGATTGAAACTCAAAGTTTTTCAAATTGGTAAATAATATATAAAAGAAAAAAAAATTACAATATCTATTTAAGCATGATGACTTAAATTATGAAATTGTTGTAGTTGATTTTAAAACAAAAATATGCGTAGATATTTGATATCATATAATATGAATCACTGTCCTTCAGGGGCAGCTTCTGCTCCTCCTGATCTGAGTTTGCTGAATATGTGTAAGAGCACAACGATTCCCAAATATACAAGACTAATTATAAGTACGGTGTTTGGTTGAACTTTTAGAGATGAGACATCTCCAGAATAGAAATTTAATCCTGATTATCCTCCATTTTCTGTTGTTTTTGATGCTAAATTATGTAAA